ACCCTAACCCTAACCCTAACCCTAACCCTAACCCTAACCCTAACCCTAACCCTAACCCTAACCCTAACCCTAACCCTAACCCTAACCCTAACCCTAACCCTAACCCTAACCCTAACCCTAACCCTAACCCTAACCCTAACCCTAACCCTAACCCTAACCCTAACCCTAACCCTAACCCTAACCCTAACCCTAACCCTAACCCTAACCCTAACCCTAACCCTAACCCTAACCCTAACCCTAACCCTAACCCTAACCCTAACCCTAACCCTAACCCTAACCCTAACCCTAACCCTAACCCTAACCCTAACCCTAACCCTAACCCTAACCCTAACCCTAACCCTAACCCTAACCCTAACCCTAACCCTAACCCTAACCCTAACCCTAACCCTAACCCTAACCCTAACCCTAACCCTAACCCTAACCCTAACCCTAACCCTAACCCTAACCCTAACCCTAACCCTAACCCTAACCCTAACCCTAACCCTAACCCTAACCCTAACCCTAACCCTAACCCTAACCCTAACCCTAACCCTAACCCTAACCCTAACCCTAACCCTAACCCTAACCCTAACCCTAACCCTAACCCTAACCCTAACCCTAACCCTAACCCTAACCCTAACCCTAACCCTAACCCTAACCCTAACCCTAACCCTAACCCTAACCCTAACCCTAACCCTAACCCTAACCCTAACCCTAACCCTAACCCTAACCCTAACCCTAACCCTAACCCTAACCCTAACCCTAACCCTAACCCTAACCCTAACCCTAACCCTAACCCTAACCCTAACCCTAACCCTAACCCTAACCCTAACCCTAACCCTAACCCTAACCCTAACCCTAACCCTAACCCTAACCCTAACCCTAACCCTAACCCTAACCCTAACCCTAACCCTAACCCTAACCCTAACCCTAACCCTAACCCTAACCCTAACCCTAACCCTAACCCTAACCCTAACCCTAACCCTAACCCTAACCCTAACCCTAACCCTAACCCTAACCCTAACCCTAACCCTAACCCTAACCCTAACCCTAACCCTAACCCTAACCCTAACCCTAACCCTAACCCTAACCCTAACCCTAACCCTAACCCTAACCCTAACCCTAACCCTAACCCTAACCCTAACCCTAACCCTAACCCTAACCCTAACCCTAACCCTAACCCTAACCCTAACCCTAACCCTAACCCTAACCCTAACCCTAACCCTAACCCTAACCCTAACCCTAACCCTAACCCTAACCCTAACCCTAACCCTAACCCTAACCCTAACCCTAACCCTAACCCTAACCCTAACCCTAACCCTAACCCTAACCCTAACCCTAACCCTAACCCTAACCCTAACCCTAACCCTAACCCTAACCCTAACCCTAACCCTAACCCTAACCCTAACCCTAACCCTAACCCTAACCCTAACCCTAACCCTAACCCCTAACCCTAACCCTAACCCTAACCCTAACCCTAACCCTAACCCTAACCCTAACCCTAACCCTAACCCTAACCCTAACCCTAACCCCTAACCCTAACCCTAACCCTAACCCTAACCCTAACCCTAACCCTAACCCTAACCCTAACCCTAACCCTAACCCTAACCCTAACCCTAACCCCTAACCCTAACCCCTAACCCTAACCCTAACCCTAACCCTAACCCTAACCCCATAACCCTAACCCTAACCCCTAACCCTAACCCTAACCCTAACCCTAACCCTAACCCTAACCCAAACCCTAACCCTAACCCTAACCCTAACCCTAACCCTAACCCTAACCCTAACCCTAACCCTAACCCAAACCCTAACCCTAACCCTAACCCTAACCCTAACCCTAACCCTAAACCCTAACCCTAACCCTAACCCTAACCCTAACCCTAACCCTAACCCTAACCCTAACCCTCTAACCCTAATCCTAACCCTAACCCTAACCCTAACCCTATGGTAAATCAATAATGATGATTCAAAATCGATTTTAGCAACTGTCCACCAAAAAAATATATTCTTAACTCAATTGCATTAACTTCATCACATAGATTTATTGAAACCATTATTGGACACCAATAGCTCTAATTGGTAAATCAATAATGAAAAATTAAAATCGATTTTAGCAACTGTCCACCATAAAAAGTATATTCTAATCTATACTGGCAGCTTTTGTTGCCAGCTGCTTGCGGGGAGCCTTCCCTCTTTTTATCTCTATATAGGAGTGTAGATCTCTGTCTATCCAAACTATGTAATTGCAGATCAATACATGAGATATTAAGAACGGGACAAATCACAAGGGGGGACCCTTGCAATTCGTGTCGTCCTTAACATCTCATGAAATGATCTCTTTTCATCTTTAGAAGGAGTATATGATCTCTGTCTATCCAAACAATGTAATTGCAGATCATTTCATGAGATGTTAAGAACAGGACTAATTCCAAGGGTCCCCCTTGCCATTTCATAATTTTGCAACTGGCCCATTTTAATATCTTTATATATCTAGAAGGAGTGTATGATCTCTGTCTATTCAAATTATGTAATTGCAGATCATTTCATGAGATGATAAGGACGACACAAATGGCAAGGGTCCCCCCTTGCCATTTCATAATTTTCCAACTGGCCCATTTTGATATCTTTTGGGGACCCTTGCCATTTGTGCCGTCCTTAACATCTCATGAAATGATCTGCAATTACATATTTTGAATAGACAGAGGTCATACACACCTCCTAGAGATGAAAAGATATGAAAATGGGCCATTTGCAAATTGATGAATTTTGGCCAAAAATGATGGGCTAACCCCTTGCCCACTGTCAAAGTGTCATTTTTCACATTTCATGAAAAGATCTTAAATTACCGCATATTTTGAATAGACAAAGTTCATACACACCTTCTAGATATGAAAAGATATGAAAATGGGCCATTTGCAAATTCATGAATTTTGGCCAAAAAAGATGGGCTAACCCCTTGCCAATTGTCAAAAAGTATGATTTTGGCGGCCATTTTGTTTTTGCTTATATCTCAAATTGCTCAAGGCATACAGAGCTCCATTTTTTGCTTGTTCAGTGGATACCTAGACAATCAGAATCCTTTAGAAAAAAAAAATTATTTCATCAAAACAAGGTTAGGCCCCAAATCTGGGTTTGGCTGCCGGACTAGCTAGACCCTCAGTGTGTACATTCAATAACTAACAAAGTGGTTTGCATGTATTATGAAATGTCTATGTATTATCTGATTGTTATACTCATTTTATGTTTTCTGATTGGTCAAATAAATAATAAAAGTACAACCCTTACAAAAATTTAAAATTCTAATGTAACCTCAATACAAAACAGCTAGGTTTATAGCAATGATAGAGTAGACATTGTGTGATATGTGTATTGGTACAAACCATTTATTTCATAACATGAGTAAAGCATACTAAGGAAATTTTTCAAATTTGTAGCAACAAAAGTAAGTAGACCAAAGCCTTTGTATGCAGATCGTCCAGGTGTTTTACAGTGAAATATGTCATTCTGAAGTCCTGAAGGGAAAATGCAATTTTCATATTACTGAGAGCTGTTGATAAATATAAAAGCGATCCTTTGTTTTGTTCTTAGGAGAAAATGCATTACTGGAAAAAAGCTAGAGTTACATACATCCAAACCCAGCCCATTCTAAAACACAAACTGGAGGGGGAGTTGTTACATGTATGTCTAACGTAAAGCCCTACTGCACTACTTAAAGCTACCTGCGCCTTCTATGTAGCAAACAACTAATTGGTGAACATTGGTCCTCCATGGTCCCCTTTTTCTTATGTTAATTGAGAGATAATTTGATGAGATAACCACCTGTCAGTGACCATGCAGGGAGGTTATAATTCATCCTGGCCAAATTAGTGCAGAGGGGCTTTAAAGGTTGTTTAAGGTTAGTATATTTAATATCAATTCATGAAAAGTTATATTTCAAGTTTCAATTTCAATTTATTTATGTTTCTAACAAAACATTACAAATTAATTATATACATATTGGTAACAGAAGGGTCCATTTAAAAGCAATGCTTGTACAAGTGCGGACTTCTCAAATGATACTCAGGAATAATGAGTAATCAGATTAATAAGTCCGTAACTACAAAATAGGGGGAAAAGGGGGATGCCAACAGAGACGAGAACAGGACAAGACAGTACTTTACATGACAAAGATAGAAGAACACGGTCATAATACAAAGAGTAGACAATGCCAAAAAAGAAGTGAGAGATCAGGGGTGCAGAAAATAATACAAAATGATGAGCTGCATGTGGGGTTGAGAAGAAGATGAGGAAAGAAAAATGCGCAGTAGAAAGGAGATCAGCATGAGAAGACACAATATAATATATTGCAATATTCCACTTTTTGTTGAAGGTGTACTAACTTTTGTTTTATACTGTTTATACTACATAAGAAGTGAAATTTCTATTAATGTTGTTGTTCTTGTTATTGTATCAAAAAAATAAGGTTGTTCAAGCAAGAACTCAATTGTTACATGAAAATTGTATCTCCAATACCTTTCTTTACTTGATTAGCAATAGAAATCATATTCATGAATGTGAATTACACACACACACACAACTCAAAGTGGCCCGTTAGTGGGTGCTGATCATACAAGGATTCTGTTCTATAATGGGTAATTCCATAAATTAGGGACCCATTTGTGACATTTTTGGTGACCCACTTACATAAGGAACCCACATTTATTTGTGGGTCTGAGTAAAGACTTAAATAGTGGAGTGAGATTGGTCTTCGACTTCCGAGCATAATGATGCATCCTCATACTTAGAATCACTTAACACTCTCACTCCACTATTTAAGTCTTTACTCAGAGCCACAAATACTAATGGGTTCCTTATGTAGGTGGGACACCAAAAATGTCACAAAGTGGGTCCCTAATTTATGGATTTGTCCATATACATGTATCTTAAAAATTACTCCCATGGTGTTCTGACATAAAACGGCATCAGATAAAATTAACAATACTAGGTGAAAGTGGAGCTTAGTATTGCCCAGTTTGGCTACGCAAAATGGAGATGCTTACCAAAATTGGGAGCATGATACATTTTGAAATAAAAGATTTGACATTTTACAAACATTTTACATACATCAGCAATCTATTCAAAATATCAAATATTGCACAGAAAAACCACTTTAGTAATTCCATAATGGGATTTGTATTATTTCCACATTTTGGTGTTGGCGTTTTATTTTATCTTATTTTTTCATTTGTTGCTTTGAAATGTTTCGTCTGTGTTTAATTTCTAAATCGATTTCTTCTTCTCTATAATAAATCGTACAGGCTAACTCAATATCAATTTAAATGATCTTACCATGACATTTGTTATACTTATTATTACCACTACAAACAAGACTAGCATGTGAAGAAAAAAAATTGCTACTACTGCAACCATAAAATATCATCAAATTACAATAATGTTATTATAGTTAAATGCTGTAACAATTCATGGATCAATATGAGCGTAATAAAATATAAGCATCAGGGTTACATGATGGTAGTTTTCTTTTTTAAGATTACACCTCTTATCTATTCCACAGCTATTGCTGAACATCCCTGTTTGCATCATTAATATAAAAGCTGGAAACAGATTTCCTTCTTTTCTTCCTTGCTGTCTTTGATGCTTTCTGACTAGCAAAAGAGTCTCAAGATATTTCTTCTGACAATGCTGTCTCCTTCCCTGTTTCCTCCTCTTCTTCTGTTGTGACTGTCTCCTTCTCTTCTTCTGGTGTGACTGTCTCCTTCTCTTCTTCTGGTGTGACTGTCTCCTTCTCTTCTTCTGGTGTGACTGTCTCCTTCCCCCCGTCTGGTATGACTGTCTCCTTCTCTTCTTCTGGTATGACTGTCTCCTTCTCTTCTTCTGGTGTGACTGTCTCCTTCCCCCCTTCTGGTGTAACTGTCTCCTTCTCTTCTTCTTCTGTTTTGACTGTCTCCTTCCCCCCTTCTGGTGTGACTGTCTCCTTCTCTTCTTCTGGTGTGACTGTCTCCTTCTCCTCTATAGCTACACCGTTGCTGTCAAAACCAGCCTTTCAGTCAACAAGAAACCAAGGAGGAAAGACATGCAATTAAAATTTATAACTTTCACACAACTAGGGAGAAATTTTCTTTTTTTAAAGACCTGGAAGGTGTTTCACAAAGATTGTTAGTTGAACCAGGAAGGTGATAGGGAAGGAGTGGAAACTCTTGTAATTTATTCAAACGCACGTGTGAGTTCTAAAGCCTAACAATGGGATGTGTAACATTTCACTTGGCTTTGAAGTTCCATGCTCCGAGCCGCTCTTGCACTGCGGGAAAATTTGGAGGCCAAGCACCAGTTTTACATTTATTACAAAATATCAAATTACCGGCAAAATATCAGTGTAAATTATAAACTTTATATGGGGATTGTATTGGAAATACTACATCAAACAATTTTTCAAATTCAGTACTCCGCCCTTCCTATGATTTGTGTGCCAGAGTTGGTAAAAGAAAAATTAGACCCTGACAAAAACTCAATATTTTAGAATAATGCGCTTATTTTCGCATGTTTTAATGTCCCGTCATTTAATCGATGATTTACAATCTTCGATAACTTTTAATTTACTAATGCGTGTTTTCGCATGTTTTTTGTATTTTTGCATTTGGAAAAAAAGATGAAATTACACAAGTATGTGTTCGCTTGTTCTACACATTACACATTCAACAATTGATGAGAAATCATTGAAAGGGACAGCGAACAATTGCTGGGACACAATTTTCTGATGTAGAAATTCTAAATCCTGATATTTCATGTGCTCTTTTATCTCACCACCTGGTCAACAGTTGCAGATTAGCGCGTACGTTTTCGGTGGCTTGGAGCATGGGATCAAAGGAGAGTAGCTTGATTCCACTCCTTCCCTATCACCTCCCTGGTTGAACTTATCTCTAAGTTGGACTTAACAATTATGGAAAGCTGTAGGCATCTATGAAATTTATTTTGTAAAAGTTATTTTAAAAGGCATCAAATATTGATTCATATTATACAATTTTCTATTATCAAGGAGATTTCATGTTCTTGATGAGGAATTTATAAAGAGTCTAAAATACTTAAATGTTTGCTTTTGAATGTATTTTATTTTAAGACTACAAATAGCTCTCTATAATATTTAAGTCCAACTTAGAGTTAAGTTTAACTTAGGATCTTTGTGGAACACCCCCCAGCAGTGTTAAGGACTTGCTCTCATGAAATAGACAATGAACCAAAATTTGCCCTCTGTATTATGAGCAGTAACTAATGAGATAATTCTGAATAAAATACTTCGCACCAAATTATTTTTAGTTCCCCTTTTAGGATGTATAGTTTCTGATTTCTGATCAGTCTTGCATTTTACTCAGATGAGTGAAAGACAGAAAGCTTATTTATGTCTATATTGAATGCTATTCCTTGATGTTTTTAGTACACTGTACCAATCATTTCTTTAAGACAAATATTGATAAACTATGGAAAGAGTTATTCAGATATTTAAAAGATCGGCAAAGTAGTATAACATTAGCATATTTCAGTGTTTAGATGGCTAAAGGGCACATATTACATACATTTTTAAAGTTCAAACATCTATTATATACACAAATCCAAATTGTGTTGCAAAAGAAGATACAAAATTGATTCAAGGTACATGTATCTCATCACATGTATTTCATTCTATAGCGATAGAGCAAGGCTAGTACCTGGGATGTGTTTTCATTGGCAGAGTCTTCAAATACTAGATCTTCTGGATCAGGAGCAGGAGGAAGAAACTCCTCTCCAGGACACAGCTTTTCAAAGATCTTCTTTGCCTAGAAACACAGAGATTTATCAGACACACAAACATTATGGAATCCTCCTACAAAACAGCATTTATCATATCATATTGAGTCCTTCAATAGTTAATAATTGAGATAATATGCATATACCACTGAGATTGATCGCATGGATCTATGAATGCTTTTCAGATTTTCTTTTTAAGAGATTAACTGGCAATGGAATTCCTGAGGACATTTACATTCATTATGGCTGAAAGCCCAGGATGAAATATTGCACCCTGGCAATTCTTTTTAATGTAATGTCACTCTATATTTACATACACTAATGTTATTTAAAATGTGAGGTACTAATGCGATCTTTTATCTCCAATGTTACTCAAAATAATACCAATTTGCCTCGTGTATCAAAACATGTGCTGCTATTCACAGGCACACCCAGAGAAGCATGGATGCAAAGATAGAATTCATATATGATTCACAATCTACCATGCATGAATGAGTGTAATACACAATGCATAAACATGCACCAATTATCAAATTATCTAATTATTGCGGTAGCAATTTAACCATTAGAACACTATCTAATGAAAAGCTATTTGTGACCCTGCGTCACAAAACATCAAAAGGTCGCTAGAGAAGACTATTTAGTTAGTTTGATTCTGGAAGAGGAGATTCTCAGCTTTAGAATGATATATTACTCATCACAATCCAAAACAAAGACAAGCATGTCCAGTCCAATAGAATGTTACTGTAGAGAAAAAGGTGTATAAAATCTGAAGTCTATTATTAGCTTAGCTTAGCTTAGCGAAATGAAAAGTCACAAAAGGCGTAATAGTTGGTGATGTTTGTGAATGAAAGTTAATTTTTAACATATCTGAATAAAATTTTATATTCAGCAGCTTCATTTCCTAAATATTTGCTTAATCTATCTCTATGTGATGAAAATATGATTTTCAACAATTATTATGTTGCATTCTGGACGTGTCTTTTCGCTAAGCTACCTAAGCACTCTGACTCCCAAGGTCGCGTGTAAGGTGACAAAAGGAGAATTAAAACTCTAGCAATTTCTGTGAAGGGATAATCAGATCAGATTAAGTACCGTTACTTCCTGTTATTTATTTTGTCAAGGAATCAATGTAATAGCTTACACTGTTTTAAAGTTACTGTAGATTAAACAAATGAGACCCGTAGCAAGGGTTGTAAATAAATAAAAACTACTACGACAAACTCAAAATTAGAAAAATATACTACAGCCAAAATACCACTTTTAAATTGTTTTGTGCTTCACATTTGTAATTACATAGAAAAAAGGATACTCTTTCAGGAAATGCTGAAAGCTCAAATTTGACTACCCTGACCAATTACATCATTCTATATAAAGCCCTAATCAAAAACCACACTACAGGTGAATTTTTGGTGGTTTAGTGGTGCAGGGTCACAATTGATACTAGTATTAGAATGTCTGCTACTCATGCACGTACGCAGAAGGGGGGGGGGGGGGTATTTTGGGGGTTAAACACCCCTTCTCAGTGTTTCTGTCCCCCCCCCCCCCCCCCCCCCCCCCCCCAAAAAAAAAAAAAAAAAAAAAAAAATTGAAGTAGGGAGGGAAGGAAAGAGAAGAGAAAGAAAAAAATGCAGCGTGAGCTTTCGTTTATTATATTATATCCATACACTTGATGTTTTTTTCAACGGTGCCTTGCTAACTAATTTGCTCATGTGATATGCATTTTAACCAGGTGACTAATGCTAATGTATTTGTGTACAAATTTCCTCATTCCATTGTGTTTTAAATTCCCCCTCTGAATTACGGCTTCCTCTACTACTTCACAGTTTTTCATCTACAACAATGGCATAGGAACCGGGAAGGGTGGTGGCGGGAATATCCTTCCCCCTCCCCCCCCCCCCCCAAAAAAAAAGTTATGGCTGAAAACCCCTTATTTTGTGCATTTTTAAAATACTGGTTAGTGTCCTTTTCCCTTTTGATGTTAGCCCCCTTTCTTCTCGCCATAAAATGTATTCCCAATTTCCTCTTTTCCTTTGATTTCTCCCAAAGCTCGCTCCCTCGCTTTGCTCGCTTTGCTCGCTTTTGAAGTTATCACGATTTTGTTTCTTATATAAAGATCTTTTAAGTCTTTCATGATTAGGATTTTTTTTCTTTAAATAAGATGTAATTTTTCATATTGCGACTTCACAAATCTTAAACTTTTTGCTTGCTTGCAAACATTCAGAACATCACACCCAACTGCAAAGTATGATGACTAAGCAGTATCTTGGACAATGTAAAGAGAGATACAATCGATGAAATGATCCCTGATAATCTAATCACAATGTAGGGGTATAATATGGCCTAAAAGTGTCTATGAATTGTATATTTTTGCTTTGAACTTTCCCTTTGTAGGTGCCCCTTTTTTCCAGGAAGTGCCATTTTTTGTTGACTTTGAAAGTCGCTCTGCCGGCTCTTGTCCAGGGTAAGAGGGGATTTTTAAATCTCAAAGGTTTACTCCCTATATAAAATGTTCACAATTTCCATTTGGTATTTTTTAATTCATGATGAATTGCGTGTAGATTGTTCTAAAAAAATGTCATAAAATGCACTAAAATCGAGCTGATATTGCACCACAGAGAATCTAGAATCCTTAAGCAGGCCCTGGACCCCAGCCAAAAGGGATTTCGTGCCGCACATTCGTCAGGGTGAGTGCTTCAACCCCCCCCCCCCCCCCCCCTCTCGCTTCAAAAAAGCTTCCTACGCCTATGATCTACAATGTCTATTTAATCCAAGCACCGCTTTTCAATAGGTTCCTCACATTTTACTTAATCTGACATGTGAATTGAGTATCATTGTAACGTGCTTATTTACCATATACTATTTACTATTCCCTCGATCACTGCCCATACACTTCAATATTCTTGATAGCAGTAGCATTTTGGTGCCATTATGTTAGGGATTTTCAAGTTTAACTCTATCATAGTGAATATCTCATGAGTCTCTGCATGCTTGTTTGACATACATGCAATTTTTCACAAAACAATAGGTACCAATTGATCAAAGGATTGGGGATTTTTTTGCAACACAATGGCTTTGCAAATTACCCATTTCCGGTCTTGATTAGCTATATTTACAACCCTTCTAACAATGATAAAGATTCATTCTGCACTACAACCCTGCTAACAATGATAAAGATTCATTCTGCACTACAACCCTTCTAACAATAATAAAGATTCATTCTGCACTACAACCCTGCTAACAATAATAAAGATTCATTCTGCACTACAACCCTTCTAACAATGATAAAGATTCATTCTGCACTACAACCCTTCTAACAATGATAAAGATTCATTCTGCACTACAACCCTTCTAACAATGATAAAGATTCATTCTGCACTGGAAACAGTTTTACAAATCTTAAATCCTTTGGTATATCTATCCCATGGTAAATACAATGTTGTAAAGAGAGATAATTTGTGTGACATATCAAGAGTTAAGAAAGTTGAGAAATTAAGTAACTTATCAATAGCATAATATCAGATGTAAATATACATTGAGAAAAACATCACCTAGTGTCAGAGATCATGTGATAAAGAAACCTGACATTGAAGCAATGATGGTTTACAGATTTGATTTACTGATTTGATCATGAACAAATACTTTTGATCAACTTTGTTCATACCTGTGATACAGCATGATCAAATCCAATTGATCCTCCTGCTCCAGAGGTTACATGTACATTGCCAGGTAACGTGCCTTTGAGAACATCATCTTCAATGTCAGTGACATCTTCTTGAGAGAAATAGACTGACCAGAGGATGTGAGGTTGATCAGTATCCGGCTCAGTAGGTTTACAATCTAAAACACACAAAACAATTCAAGGGTAAAAGTGTGTGTGTTCCATTCAATATTTCATATCAATTAATAGATAGGGACTTAGAGACAATAAATAAATAAATTTCTTTCATTTCAGAGAAATACCATACAGATTATAAAAGTCATCAAGGTATATAACATTTTTTAAGTTCTGCAAAGTTCTGTGTGGAAGGTACTAGGTAAGCTTTATTATACATGCAGAGTCTACCATTGAACAAGTTCTTTAGCATGTAGCATGTTCTTTAGCATGCAGCTAGTCTAGTAGATCTACATCTAATACATATATTAGTATTAGGGGCAGCTACATGTAATAATAAGGCATAATTTATCCCCGATAGAATAAAGCACATGTGCAAGCTCTATTCATCAACACAAGGGAAAACACAATGGCCCATAATTACAGAACATACTATAACTTATTATATGTAAGTTGCGACTAGGACACAGTACTCCCCAAAATCCCTAGCAGTCAATTTTACAAACTAGCCAAGCTCTGTGAACATTTTGTACATTGGCATTCACAATGCCTGAGTTAATGCTATAGCTGGAGGAGACTTACAAATGAAGTAAATTATAGATATGAAAAATTTCCTTGAAAAATAAAACTACATGCCGTTTTACGTATCCTGAGAAAAACAAAGTTTTGCTCCAAGTTATATGCAAAGATTAGAAGTCATTAAATTAATATGAAATAATCACTTCATTGTATCAAAAAATAAAACAGCCTTGGAAAAAGCATTTGAATAGGCAAAATGCAAAGACACAGACAGTGGATACAAGTGCTGCAGAATGCTTGATAAAATTAACAACAAATCACTGATCTTTCACCCTGTAACTGATATGAGATATTAATGCAAAAAGGATGGTTACAGTTGTGGAAATTATATGTTTCGTAAAATTAATAATTATAACAGTGAGTGGCTTTTCTTTTGTGGACTACAAGGGTGTATCACATTCACTCTCAATACTTTTTGCTTGTAATACAGACATATGTAAACAAAAAAATATGCTCAGTTTATGAGAAATACCACTGTATCTTTAATACTCATTCAATATTATATGAATATCCATACAAGAAAGATAATAATGAATGAGGCAATAGACTTGATATTACCCTTCGATGCTACTTGGAAGAACGTTTGTACTGTATGCTGTAAGTCATCCTTGGCTGACACACCCTTGCTGTTGGCTTTAGCAGTCAGGTGCACAATATCTGGTGGAGGAAATAGCTATTCATATTCAACTCTGTGTGTGGGTAATAGATTATGGATCTATAATTATGGATCTATAAAAATGAGTATAGTATGTTTCTGTTGACAGTTTCCATTTAGAAAATCTATTATTTGAAGTTAAAAGTAAAGAAAAACAAAGGGTTAACAATAATAATAATAATATTTCTGCTTAGTGCTTAATACATCGGCAATATGATAGTTTCTAAGCGCTTTACATTATTAACCCGGTCATCAGATTCTGGCTTGCCAGCACACAATGTATGCACTCTCTCCATTCCCTAGCTCAAATTGCTAAGCATACTACATTGGCTTTCACATCCTACCGAGTACCCATTTAACACCTGGGTGGAGAGTGGCAAATGTTTTAGCTTTTCTTTTAGATAGCAAAGAACCTCAAGAGACCCATAGTACTACTAGAGAACAGGTGAAGATTCATTGTACAAAAGATTTATATTCTATGGCTTCATTCATTGTACAGGAGAAGCATTTCTCTACTATTTCCTAATCCAAATTCCTACCTAAGAAGTTAAAGATGGAGATGAAACTCTAATTATTCAACAAAGTCTTGACATTTAAATTGTGCATTCTCAGGTATCTTTGATTTTGATCTACAATATGATTAAAGAGTGAATCATCAAACTCACATAGGTTGGGTGGGGCTGCACACGCTGCATACCCTACTTCAATCACATGAACAGGTTGGTCTCTGTCATCACATGGTGGTATCGTGAGAAATGTGATCTAAACAGAAAAACAAAATAAAGCACTTGCTATTTCAAAAAGTGGGGTTTAAATCATTTTTTAGAAAACAGTTACAACCTACATGTATGATAAGGTTTGCTTACAAGGTGTATGCTACACCTCTCGTCTCTGTATAATTATATAGTAGGGGAGAGATGAGATATTTTGAGCTTCTTATACATCTATCAAGAGATATTGTTAGTTATAAAACTCTCTAAAAATACAAAAATGATTTGTGAGTTAAGTAACTGATGTACCTCTATGCACTTGAATATAAAAGGGTCTGCAATGAACCAATGTCTAATTTGGATTCTGTGCAGAGGGCTCTATGTGATCATTCAATTTCTCCTTGCTCCTGAACTGTTAAAGGTATTACACAGTTTTGGGACATTTTGAAAAATGGGTGGATGTGATTCTTTACAATTTTGATATATTTGGATGCCCCTGTGGATGTATTAAAAACACAAAAAATTTTAGCCCCTAAAACACTTCTGCTTTCGAGAAAAATAGAATATAAAGATTTACCGGTGCTCCCGGTAAATTTTGTTAAATTTCAAATAGCTCCTACGGCCGTACAATGGTAGCTGCAACCATAAAAATCTCAGAGTAATTAGTTGTGCTATATAATTTTCGAACGAGAATAGCTAATCGGTCGATTTTAGTCAATAGACATTGTTTTATAGCTTAATTAATATCTTGACCTTGAGAGGGAGCTATTCAACATAAAGTGTTTATTTACAATTTCATAACTTTAGAGTCGGTTTCGACGGCGACAACGATCACTGAATATTGTAGGATCGTATATGCTTCCAATATGTTCATTTGAACCAAATTCATGACCCCATACCAGAACTTTGTATTACCTTTAAGTGTTAACCAAAAGAATGTTGGGTAAAGAGTAAGTTTAGGCAGAATTTGTTTGCATCAAGCTGTACACAAACTATTTATTTGATTGGTGCACTTTAAGATTCACCACACACTGAAGTTTCATTTATGAGTCTCAGATCAAATTCTTCAATAAAACATTGTAAGTATCTGCACTTGAATGACCAAAATTCCTCTATTCACATCAAAATAATCTCTCCATCATCAATAGTTTTACAGACAATGTTATGATATGATCCTGTTTTGAGAAACAGAACTTCAAAAGAAAAATAATTTGACTCAACTCAGTGCTTAGTGAATGTCATGTTTCTGTAAAGTAAAAATAGTATCTTATTTCCACTAAAAAGTAAGTACACACTTTTTATAATTAAGATTTACAAATACATATACAATATAAAGTTTTCTTTCATATATCAAAATAAACATAAATTAATCTTTTTCAGGTGATATACAATTCAAATCATTTCCATTCGTACATAAAAGAGCATAGCCATTTAACAACAAGTCAACGCAAAGCGTAGCATCCCCTCGCAGGGTACAAATTGCCTATATACATCAGATCATTGGACTATACTATTATATTACTAGGCAAGGAAGTTAACCACATTTTCACATATATAATTAGGTGTTTTTGCATATTTAATGAGCTATGACCTTTCACCTTTGACCTACATACTCAGAAATCAAACTTAGGCTGTACATGTATTTTGATACCATGTACCTTCATATTAAATTTCATTACAATTTGTCAATCATTACTCAAGTTATCGAATGGAAACCAGATTCTCATATTAAATGAGCTATGACCTTTGACCTAGGTACTCCAAAATCGAAATTAGCCAGTATTTTGATATCATGTACCTTCATATCAAATTTTTATTAAAATCTGTCAAACATTACTGAAGTTATCGATTGGAAACCAGATGTGTATTTTTTCGCATATTTAATGAGTTATGACCTTTGACCTACATACTCCAAAATCGATCTTAGCCTGTATTTTGATATCATGTACCTGCATGTCAAATTTCATTTAAATCCGTCAAACATTACTGAAGTTATCGATCGGAAATCAAATTTGTTACGAACGGACGCACGGACAGACGCACAGACAGACGCAAGGTCGCACGCAGGGAGGGGCGGACAGCGCGTTTCTATATCCCCTCCGACTTCGTTAAATGGATGTGCCCATCCAAGGGTGAAGGTAAAATATTGGATTCTAATTGATGTTGGTAGAGTATCGATATTTGTTTAATCCGATATTTTTATTTCGTCATATTTTATCAATGTTTCATATGAAAGCTTTGAACAATAAAGAGTGTCCACTTTCCTCTCTTTTTGCTGAGTTTTGGTGCCAAATATGCCTTCCCAACCCTCAAATGTTGTGAAAATGACTTTCATTCATTCATTTATTTTATTTTCACATTTTGATAAAAAATCACAATAACAAACATTTACAATACAAAGTCAATTCAAACAAATAACACAACATAACAGAAGTATCAAAATGTGGGGAACAAACAAAGGCCAAAGGCCTATCAAAGGCTTGTCCCCAAACTATATGAATAATTAAATATAAATTAAGTACGGTAGTACAACAGGAAGACAGAAAAAACAAGGCAAACATACCGCTTTACAGACTCGGAGAGTGTATGATTTAATAAGATTAGATTTATATATTCTTTTAAAACTAGATATGGATGGGCGATTCTTTATTTCCAACCCAAGTCTATTCCACAGTTAAGGACCACAAAATTGTATTGTGGTACGGGAAAATTATTCTTATATTTAGGAATTCAAATGTGGTTGGACTGTCTAGTAGAGTATGGACTTGTTTAGTTTTTATTGATTTTGATAAATAAAAACAGGATCATATCATAACAAGTTAGTTATTATTAATGATGGAGAGATTATTTGAATGCTTGAATATTGGGAATAGTTCATCATCTTTAACCATGCTTAATTGTATGTTTTTTCATCTCCAATCACTGTTTAAGTTTTTAGTGTTTTCAGATGCATAAAAAAGATATTCCCACTAAAGTATGTATTAATGGTAAATCAAATTTATTTACATCCATTATGGACACAAACTCAAGAACACCAACAGGTCTAAAAAGAAAGACTAGTTTACAAGTAGCTGTAGCTAGCAGAGTATAAATATTCAAAAGCATGACTAGAGCATTTACTTGACAGTGTGGAGTCTCAGCTTCTACTCTGAAAACCTAAACACGGGAAGAAGAAACCTGGAAGACCTCATCTTACCTATACAGACCTACTCAAGAAGGATACAGGACTTGAACTGTCAGAGGTTAAAGCAGCCATGCTGGACAGGAATGTGTGGAAAGCCATCACAGCTCGGGCAGTTGACCCGACTTAAGCAAGCAAGTGGAGTACTATTTAAGCATGGAAGACAGTGTTATCACCTCTACTAACACTTCTGTCAGTTCTGTTGATGCAAGATAAATAATGACAATGTATTTATCTTACCTGCTCAGTTGTTGATTGCTTGATAGATCTGTCAGTGATTAATATTCCTCTAGACAGGTAACTGGAAAGGAAAAGAAATATGTACTTGTCATTGAAATGAAACTTTCACCAATCTACTTCTCTGATATTTCTGCTTTCTCTTAGAGTAATTTGCTATTTATATTGAATAACCCTTTAATTCAGCAACCAGAAGTTTTGGTAATAAATAACAAAAACAAATCTGTTGCCAGGAATGTTATAAAGGTGTTTGGTACCCACAGACTTGATACTATCTGCGTAAAACTCTTCCCTCTCTCATTCCCTTTCATACCTGATCTTTCTCTCTCTGTCTTATAAATTACAAGGATGTGAGCTCAAGCTGTGGTTATGATGACCCTTATTTCTATGTATGATGTTATGTGACCATACATGTTAACAATTAATATATGTGTGTTGTATGTTAAATAAATGATAATCAATCAATCAATCAAATTTGCTCATTTTATTACCTGTTCTGACGTTCTGTTTTGTGTTTTTTTTTACACCTGTATTATGAATCAGATCAGCCACGTGTGTTACCCTTGCACAAAAAGAGGTCTGGTTTGTTGGTATTCAAACCTACTTTACCTGTATTTCCTTCAGAGTGCAAGTTTCTACTTTTAATTGATGTTTGGTGGGATTGCTCTTAATGGTTTGAAAGTAATTTTCCACAAATAAGCAAACAATATTTTTTGTTAGTGTTGAACATTGGGTCAGTAAAGATTGTGACCAATAAAAAAAAAGGGTGTTTTTGAATATCTCTGTAAAAGCATTATGGTTGGGGAATAAATCATTTCTTGTCAAAGGGAATCGTTTTAATGTGAGAAACTGGGGATACATTTATGTAACTTTATAAAGAATGGCTCTTTGCCAAAGGTCATTAATGCCAAGCTGGTACTCGGACCCTTAACCCTTTAAATGGGAATCAAGTGAACGAACCCTTTAATATAACACGACACCTTAGCGTAATCAAGATGAAAACAAGTAAACAAATGTTAGCAAGGAGTCTGATTTGGTATGAATGATCTTCATTGAACAAAGCTTACCTGGCTTTATATGGCTTTGACTCGCCATATGCATAGCTGTGTTCCAGAATGAGATTTCTGAGAAGAACAAAGGAATATAGAATAGTTGTCAGAATATTTGGTTATTAATGTGTCTTCAGAACAGAGAGATTAGATGGACTCAGGAGACATGTACGTTTCAAACTCTGTTTGTTTGATCTGTTGTGAACAGCCCCCTCCCAGGTGTGCACATGGCCACCATTCCGCCTTGTTACCATTGCACAGGGCCACAGACTCAAGAATGTCTGCTCTTCTAATTATTCAAAGGTTCTTTGGCATTGAGTGATCACATAAAAGAGTCCATTTATTAGCCTACTTCGAAGGAAAAAATCCCAACCCTATATCACTCCATTAACAAAAACATCACGACAGAACTACAAGGTTGGAAGATTTAAAAGATAATTGCACCATACAGAATGTTTAGACAGCTTCGTACATGTATTAATCTGAGCCAACCTACAGTGTAATCAAATCAAAGTTGAAGCATATCTCTTTTCTCTAACCAGTATAACATTGAATACAGAATATTACATACCTGCACTTTAGTCTCTTCCCCTCAGAGTCAATGATGCCTCTAATGCTAAGGAAAACATTGGAAGAAAAGGGCAATAGCAATGAAATAATAAATTAATTGAGAAACTATTACTGTTCTAACCTCAACACAACTACATAAAACATTACCAGTATCTTGTTTGCTTTTTCATAATGAAAAGGAATATTGTTCTACATGTACATGTATATTGAAAGCTATTTAGTGGTTATGAAAACGTATCACTTACTTGTTTTCAGAGTCTGTTATCATACTGCTAATGCTGGTCCGAAGAACATAAATGCCACCAAAGACTGCACACATTCTTTCAAAACAAACAAAATGGTAAATTGGTAATGAATTGAAACATGGCCAGTCTTCAGTGCCCTTTGGGAAAAATCTGATGCCAGTGTTCAGACTGTGGCATCAAATTTAAACAATTGTAATATAAATGATGTTTATCGTTGTTTGTAATATTACAACTTTGTGTGTATGTAAAAGTGTACGTAGGGGTGTATGTGTGTATAATTTATACATATTTCTGTGATAAATTGTCGGGATTATAAGTCAGGATTATAAATTTGAGGTTTTGAGTTTTGTTGTCTATATAATATATGAAATACCTTTGTTTATCTTTCTGTTGGAAATGAAATAAGAATTGAATTGAATATTGAATAATAAGTTTGCTCTCCATTTGTTTTATATTCTATGTATGTGCAAACAATAAAAAGGTATCAAGTCTCGAGAACCTGATAAGGCTTAACACTGTGTTAAACACTCCACTGGCTCTTCATGGTAGATTGTAAATAACAACACAATATAAATATAATTTCTGAGTCACATTACAAAAGTATTTAGACATGAATATAATGATGAAATCAAATAAATTATACCACAGATCTGCAACAGCAGAAAAAGAAAGTAGGGAGATAGAAAGACAGGAAAAGAGAAGATTAGTAGAGGTGTTGCAGTTCAGTGGCTTAATCACTTGACTGGAAATGCAAAGATCAGTGTTAATCTGGATCAAAGTTACTCTCAAATTTTACAGGTGTTGGGTTTCATTTCATTTCATTTCAGTTTTTATTAGCAAAGTCTACATGGCATAATCAGATGTACAAATCATAATTGATAATATATTTTTATATCTGGTCCGTTCGATAATAATTTGGGGTTGGTGCAGTTTTAAAATATGCCTAATGTTACAGCGCTGAATTTGCATGCATGTCTTGCATTGTACAGTACTGTGCAGTACTGGTCGACTTTCTCTGGGTGCATGATGCACATGTATGTTTATGTTAGGCCTTTACCATTTTGTACTCATGTTCATTTGTATGTTGTATTTATTCCTGATTTTGTATAAATTGATAGATGGTATGTTAATTGATGTTATATTCCACATTACTAAGAATCTTGCTCTACGATTGGTCAAAAGTAAATCACGTGATGAAAGATAGTTCGCCCATTATTGATGGGAGAAGCAAACAGTTTGTTACACTGTGTAGATAGTACTACTATCTACACAGTGCAACGCACTTTCACTGAAGACAGAGGTACTATCTACACAGTGCTACGCACTTTCACTGAAGATTATCCAAAAGCGCACTAAAACAGGCGTAATTAAGCGCGCATTACCAATGGGCGCAATTAAAGAAAACACATGCACGAAACGTACCGTCAAGGGGTTGGGTTAAACTTTAACTTTTTTGGTGTTAATTTGAGCCTAGGTGTCTTTTACGTAGATGCATACACATCCTTTTCTTTTTGTAGTTAAATTGTTTTAGATGTGGAATATAAATCAAAAAATCACCTTTTGGTTTCAGGCAATGGCAAACTATCACTTCCTCGTCGATCAGAATGTATATGCTATCTTTCCTCAGCTTCGCTTCGAAAAGATAGCTACATCCAGATCGCCTCGGAAGTGATAGTTTGTCCCATCACCTTCACCAACAGTAATTATTTGCTTACTATATATATATTTGCAGAAACAGCCGTAAATTTAACATTACAGGACCCACATCTTGCATGTGGTAGAAAAATAAATAACATATATCAACGCATAATCACTGTAAAAAATTTAGAATACCCATACCTGCAAAAGCACTGGGGAAGTTCTCCACTGCCATACAGTGTCCACAAGAAAGCTGTATTGCCATAGCGACCTAATGAACTTAGGAAATACTTCATAGCTTGAAGTGCCTGCAAATGGAACAAATGGAAAGTGGCATCATGTAAGAATGGAATTGGTATCCTCAATCCTGATCCATAGCAACAATTGAGACATCTGACCTTGTTGTTGTATAAACAAGATGATAGGCCACGTTCTAAAATATTGCTTTGGATCGTGTGCAATTTGGAGAAGTCTGATGTTTCATTATGACTTTTTATCAAATTATGTATCTATCACTGACATACACAAAAAACAGTGCATTACAGCTGATTAACTATTTAATACTCTGAATATAAACCGTTTTAGAACTTAGAATTCACAGATAAAATTTAATCCAATTAGATACACATAACAACAAAAAAACAGATAAAAATTCATAAAGGAAAAAAGTAGACTAGGAATGAAAAACATTTCCTTTTTCAGCCCAAACAGATATATATACGTATGAAGTATGAAAATACTAAAATTCAATTTCAAAGTCCAAAAATGAATTAATTTATCTAGCCTAAAAATCTATAATTATTCAGCTTTATCATACAAATTTGTTGTCTTTTGATAGCTTTTTATCAATAATCCATGGTGCCTGGATATTCATAAGACTTGCTCTCATTTTTACATTTTTTCCTCAAACTCACATGACAACTATTAACAAACAACACAACTGTACAACATGTTACAACTTTACCTTGTGAGTTGGTGTGTTTGCACTAGTCATGGCAATGGAATGTATCACAAAGTGTTGAAGAGTTGGACTCAGCTTGCGAGATTGGAGAAAGTCTGCAAAGGGCTTGTCCATGTAATCTGCATTTAGAGGAAAAGAGAACTTTAATTTAAGGAAGTCATTAATTATGACATATAGTACATACTCATAACTATCATTCTTTGAAGTTTCATGTAACACCTGAATCAAGTTTGCCAGAACTTCAATGACATGTGATACTGTAGCAAGCAAATAAGTGCCAACTAGTCAGACAATGGAACAAAATACGTCTTCACAGACGTAATCTTGGGCTACTACCTATCCAAGGTGAAGGTGCGAGATGACAGAATAGCCCCCAGAATTACCCAGGCTATGATAGTTTGTCTACCGGGCATGGTGGCTCAGTTGTTAGAGCGCCTGCCTCATGAATTGGAGGTCGTGGGTTCGAACCTCGGCCGAGTCATACCAAAGACTTATACAATGGGACCTCCTGCCTTCTAGCTAGGCACTCAGCATATTAGATTGGAGAAGGGTAGTAATATGTTATGCAGGGCCCACTGGAAATGCAGTTTCATAACTTATTATTATTATTACCCACTACAGTGAAGGAGGTGATTATCTGCATGGGAGCCGTAAATAGTAATTTTTTCAAAATATTGTGATTATTTTTTTATCATGTGACACACTTTTTACAAATCAAAAACCGCTAAGTTTTTTATGCAAGATATAATCTAAACTATCACATAGAAATAGTCATGTTTCCCTGATGCTGCAGAAACAAAGAAGCTAGCAGAGCCAATAGTTCAGATTTAGCAGAATATTGTTGTCTTTATGGTGGAGCTTAACATTCAAGTAGATACACCTAGGACATTATGACCTGGTTCTACCTAAAGAACATAAATGCACAGAGCATGTAAGCATCCATGCATGTAGCACAGTATAATGTCCAGTACCAGTAAATGCCAGTACAAGTATTGTCAATGTGGGATCACCTCCTTTACTTGGATGGGTGGACAGACTAATCTATCGTCAGTGGTCTTGAGAGCTCTACTACCTTCCCACACCTCCAGCTTCCTAAGATAGTAACCATAATGCCACCTCTGACAAGCCAGCCCATCCAAACATCTTTGTAGTTGATGAGTATATGCTTACTATTAACTTAGATATATAGTTAATGGTGGTTATTTTACCTGACAGCTTGTAAGTATTTAGGCAACCAGAAGACCAACGGCTCTAGGTCCTCTCTGAGGGACCTGGTAATGAGGATTAATGCCTTACCAAAGGGCACTAGCGAATCGACTTTGTTTCGAACCCGGGTCACTGGATTACGAGACCACTGCTCTACCGACTGAGCTATCGCGCCTCCCCATTATTATTAAATCAAATAATTATCTTGATGACTATTTTTGTTAACATACATGTGTACAATGTACATTCTTTATTCTGATGATGTATTAATTGCCGGTATATGATTTGCTAAAATATATTGAATTGAAATACTTTTTTTTTTAAATCAAAATTAATTGAGGATGAAAGGGTGAAACACATATCCATGTAATTATCATTCACTGCACAAAAGATCAGACAATCAGCAAACAGCCAAATTTTATACACAATGTTTTGCTTAGCCCTGTTATACATGCATAAAATAAATATAAAGATGATTAAGAGACGTACATCTGAACCAGCCAACCTACCTCTATACTCATCTTGCCTGTTCTCATGATCAAGACCAAATTCTATAAGTTTCATTAACATTCTCTTCTCCAGCATAGAGACATAGCGGCTACTGAAAACATCTGCCCGGGAACACGGTACCTGCAAGTATCATGTAATTCAACATTTTGATATATATATATATATACATGTATATACAAGTAGCAAAGGCTTAACAAATCCAACGCAATTGTCACTTTTGTCTTATATTTATATGTCCATTAATAAATGTACATGCACTACATACACAGGCTACTAATAAGTTTTTTGTACAAACCAAATAGAGAGTACCCTTGATTCAAATATTGTCAATAATGTATCATCAGAGATTAGGAGGCTTACAGATGACACTCATAAGTTTTAGGTCAACTGTGTATCGGACAATGAAACACATTACTACACATAAAAGCACTTCTCAGGATCTGGTATATACGAGTGCAACAAAAGATTATGTAATGTTTCGCTGGCCTCACATGGGGGAGTAATCCTGTGGAAGCAGAAGACATCCTGTAACTAAGGAACATATTTTCAGTGCAATTATTTCTCAATGATAAGATTATTTTAAGGGACGTGATGCTGATGTCGATAATTATGTTCCTTTGCTTAAAAACTTTCATGGCAAGGATAAATAATCAATAACAAATCACTGAAACATCAGCCCATCAAGTGATTGAATGAACAGTATTTGTTTCCATTTGAAACGTTGCACATGCGTTGGCGTGTGCACCTGAATGTACAATGGAGTCTTTCTTACAAGCCATAGTGATCTACAAATGATTCCTTTCCTGTTTTATAACAACACATTTGTTCATCAAATTAAATCCATATCCGAAATGGAGAATAACGCAACAGATAGTCACATATATATGTGATGAAAGCATGAATGATGTAGCACTTACCTGTTCCAATCTACCACTGATATGGGTAAGGATACGAGTTACTGCCTTGAACTCTGCATAACGGCTAATCCGAGACGAAACAAGAAGCTCCACCATGGCACCTCTACAAAACATTAACTGAACAATGAACAGATATTTAGGAACAATTATCTCATAATCCATTCACACTTTTCCTCACCAGAAAGTCTGTGATTTCTACTAGGCCTAGTTTCTACAGACAATATTAATTAAATACTTAATTGAAACATAAATCATGCATTCATACTGAAATTATATCCTTTTCATTATTGCCTGTAATGCTCAGTACAAAAGTCACAAAGTTAATCAATCCATTACTAGAATCCTCATATTCCATTGATCTTATTCATCCAGGACACATGCATGCCTATCATACTGGAATGGTTTTAGCTAGATTATCAAAATAAAACATCGCTTTCAGTGTGGCTAGTGCCAGGGGTGTACTATTTTTTGAGAGGGGGAGGTTTTGATGCCACTAGCTTTTGCTAAGCTAGATTGTAATCTTTTTAACATCTTTTAGCACTTTGAAGTGTCTCCATCATTCAAATTTGATACCAAAATTGACTCAACTCAGAAATGAATAATGTAGAATAAATATTTGTACAATGTTAAATTGAAAATCTAAGTCTATTTTTTTCTGAGGTATGTTTTACAAAGGAAAATATCTTGATTGCCTTCTTTCTTTCTCACACTTACTTCTTTTTCTTTCTTTCTACCTATGTACATATACTAACCTTAGGAGCAAGATCAATGTTAAATTTCCTCCAATTCTTCATGATTTCTTCCCATGTCCAATCTCTTTGTTTTTCTTTTGTAGATACATTTCCATGATGTGTACTTGGTTGATCTGCAGTTCTTACTTCATTAGCGGATTCATCTTTTGGTAGGGTTGTTGGAGACTGGTTCTGTACCATTTCTAATGAATCATCATTAGAGTTATCTGTATTGATGACATCTTGAGATGAGGTGTTTGTCTCTTCCTCACCATCTTGAGATGAGGTCTTTGTCTCTTCCTCGCCATCATGAGATGAGGTCTTTGTCTCTTCCTCACCATCTTGAGATGAGGTCTTTGTCTCTTCCTCACCATCATGAGATGAGGTCTTTGTCTCTTCCTCCCCATCATGAGGGGCAGCCCCTGAGATGATGGATGAACCTGGCAAATGAGGGGCTTCACTTTCCACAGTCTTGGAATCAAGATTTATGGCTGGATCAGGTCCGCCTACCTCGTCAACCTCTTTCCTGTTGATTCAAAGAAAATCGGCCTTATACCTTTACTTGAACTTTGTTACACTGGAAGTGAGTAATCAACCCTAACTGTACCGATAACTTTACCAATATGTATCAATAATAAGTTTGAGACAAGCTGAATATATTAGGAAAGGCTTTTTTATTCTTAAATACATATTGTACTACCTTTCTCACTTCTCATTTATATTTTCTTCCATTTATATGAAGTGCCAGTATGCAAACACTTAAATGCAACTGGGTGTATGTATGGATCATATGTTAGGTAAATCTAATATCCGCAGAACTGATTTACATAACGGAGGAATACAAATAAATCAAAACAAAAGTGCTTACTTTACATGAATTTCTACTTCTATGTTGGTAGCAGTCCTATGAGGTGTAGGTAAAGGTACAATAACAAGTCCATCTTCCACATCTGCTTCTTGTTCATTCACCTCATCTTTATCAACATCTGTAGACTGAAGAAATAACAGAGCATTACTATGAAGCAAATTCTACACCAATGACACAACATGCACTATGAATATGACTGACAAAGAAAGCGGACAAAATATACAGTTCCTCAGGTAGACAAAGGAACATCCCTTCATTGCTATTATGTAAAAAGGTGAATATGCATGTGACACCTGTTCTACACATTTTTACATAATAGCAGTGAAGGGATGTTCCTTTGTCTACCTGAGGAACTGTATATTTTGTCCGCTTTCTTTGTCAGTCATATTCATAGTGATGGTGACTCACCTTCATCATCATCATTACCTCAACAGCCCTCAGCAAAGTGAAAAGTGGGATAATTACATACATAATGGGTATTTGCAAATGTGCATCCAAATGGCAAAACTGTTATCATAGGACATTGAATAAAAAGTTGGTTAATAATGTAAGATTTGTTTGTCTACATATGTATCATTTGGGAGTTTGAAGTTCTTGAATGCATTTCATTATGATATTTTGCAACTATGCTACAAAAACGGATTTGCTGAATTTATCTTGAATATCAATGAGCAATGAGTATAAGTGTTAAAAGAAAATATTTAAAATTATGTATAATTTCTTTTCTTTAAACTTCTAATAACTGAAGTGCTAGTAGACACCCGGGGGGGTACTCACGTATATTGGGTATACGGGGATGTGCCGCTCGGAAGGGTGACTTTTTCAGGAAAGATCCTTAGACATGGGTCCCCTTTTCATTAAAAAAATCCTTAGACATGGGTCCCTTTTTTCATTTATTCCTTTCCCCTCTTTTCTCCCTCATTTTCTCCGGGATTTTGGGATTTTCTCCTACATTGCAAATGCCTAAATCTCTCCCATCTCTAAATAAATGAATCCTTCGGTTGATTGCATTTCCAGTGTACGAGGTGTACGCACTGACCTCTAAGTCAGTAGCTCGTAAACTCAACTAGATCCCGGGGTACCACATATATCACGACCCCATTGGCTCTATACCGGGTACTCATATGGCATAATGCCCGCTAGGTATGGTATTCGCCCGTATAGGGGTCATACCCCCGGAAACTTGTAGCGCTTTGCACGCTGAAATTGATATGATCATCAGCTATACCCTGCGTACCCTCTGTCCAGCAGCCGGGCAGCAGCAGGGCTCAAGCAGGGAGCTATATAGCCAATGCTTGAGAGCTCGTGTATGGGTACGTTAATTAAAACAGGAAAAGTCCTTCAATTAGAACAGATGCTAGAGGTGCTAGCACAGTATAATTATGTTGCATGGTGTTTTCATCTTTATGTGTGTAAACTACTTGTAAACTACATGTTGTATGGTACAGTTTACTAATAAAGAATTTTATCGAGAAACTGCAAAATTTTTGGCCATTGTATTAATACACACATAGGTGCATTACTATCCTGGCTGTGTATTAAAAGCTGTGCTATTGATTCTCAACATTTCAAACACCACTGTATAAAACTCAACCAATTTCACTAAAAATCTATACTTTAGTGACAATCGATAAGATCTAAATAGCAGTAAAATAAATTTTTTCAACTTTCCGATGTTAGAAAGAATAATTTAAAAAATCAAATTGTGAGTCCACTGTCGAACTTGCCAATCAGCCGCATCGGCATGATTGTGTGCATCTTTGTGTTATGATTGTATTGACTATTCATGTATTTAAATGCTGCCTATTAACGCGTAGTGCAGTGCTTAAGGTCAATATGCATTAGCGTTGACTCTCCATATGCTTTGCTGGAGTGTATTATTACAGCTTAAAAAATGTAATATTTGACTTTTGAAATCCTTAGACATGGGTCCATTTTTCACAAAAAATCCTTAGACATGGGTACCTATTTCAGCAAAAGGACCCTTGGATGTGGGTATGGGTTCGGAGGTCTTAGCCGCACACCCCCGTTCGACTATAATCTGAGTACCCCCACTTATTTGTTTCTGTTACTTTTCTAATTTTATTAAAACCAACTTCATATCATGTTAGATTTCCCCTTTAATGTATACATACCTGATTTCTTTTTATCCAATCCAGCATGCCCTTCAGATGAAAGGAAGCCCATTCTCCACTGTAAAAATCATTCCTGTCAAAATATGTTAGGGATGCATTATTATTCAAAAATATATTAAAGGGCAGTCCAATCTTTGTTCAGATCCTTTTGCATGAAATCAGAAAAGTAAGATTAAAAGAATGCCAAAAGTTTGAAATAAATTGGATCAATGAGAGAGTTACGAGTGTTTGAAAATACGAAATCTACTAAGTCTACAGATGCTTTTCTCAAATTGGCAATTTGTTCAGCGGATTGTAACATATGTATGGTACCTGTTTGTCTTGCACCAGGGAAAGCAGATGGCGCACACTGTGTACTTGAATGAATCCGAAGACTAGGATAATAATAATATCTGTACAGCACTTAGAGACAGTATTCCGTATTAAGTGCCATATAAATCTAGATTTGTTACTACCATTATTATATTTTTGGCAGAGCAGGACTGAATTTTATGGTACATGTATATAGAGTGCTATTCATTCAGTTGACCTTTAATATCATTAAAAGAAAACAAAATAAGAAATAATGTTGAATACATGTCCATCATGTGCCCCTATTCATCTTGTTTTATGGTACTCTGCTATTTACCTGTCTACATGCAGTACTTTATGACCATTCCTTGCCAAAGCTGCTGCCACAATGCTTTCTTGCACACCTGGTTAGATGGGAAAAACACCAACAAGTTAAATAATAATGAGAAATAAACAATCCTGTCAACAAACAACAAATTATGGCTATTTTCAGGTACAAAAAATGATTCTATCATCTCAAATACTTAAGACTAGAAAGTTTGTTGAGAAATTAGTTTTAGACAATTCAGTGCTTTGTATTTTGGTGCATGTAAAATTTCTTGCCTATGCCCACCCAATACTTGCAGGCTTATACTAAACACTCGGGTCACGGCTAGCCGGGCCAATTTCTTGTAATGGTGTCTTCAAATCAGCTTTATAAGGGGGGATTTATTGAAGAAGAGAATTGAAATTATCGATAATTTTTGGGAAGGGGAGGCAAAGTGCAAAACGTGAATACACTACAAGTATTTTCAAACAACCATGCATTTCTCAGAAGCAATCATCTCGGGGTAAATTTCCTGGGAGAGTGTTATCAAATGATGATGATGATGATGATGATGATGATGATGATGAATTTATTTATATCAGTGATTTTTTGGAGGGGGGTTCTTGCAAATAACAAACATTTTTAAATTAAGTTATTATCCCCTATCCTCTAGCTCTCTCATATATTGCTTTCGTCCTTAATCTTTCTTTATAATCCTCTCGTCACATCCTTTGCATTTTTTCCTCCTTTCACCTCTCTACCATCCATTTCTTGAATTCCTTCTGCTATAACTTCTGAATCATATTTCTGCCCTCTGTCATAGTTTCTGTTTTTATTAGTTTTTGTTCTTTCATTCCCTCTTCATTTTTTTTTTAATTCCATCATTACGATATTCTTTGTTGGTCTCCCCTTTCATCTAATGATTCCTTATGCCATATTTTGTAATCGTTCTTCTACATCTTTAATTCTTTCTCTCCCTTAATTCGCCCCCCCCCCCCCCACCTTTCCTATTTTCTTCTAGGCCTACAATGGAATTCTTATTTTCTGCAATTCATCTTCCCCATCTTTATGTTAATTGTTAATTCTTCTGGTGCATTCTACTACAATATATACTCTGTTTCTGTATTCCTCTTTTTTCCTTTTCTTCTATAATATGTTCTTTGTTTCCAACAATTCATCTTCTCAGTTCTAGGACACCTACCCCCTGGACATCCACCCCCAGATAACTATCCCTAAGGCAACTACCCCCTAGCCTAGGACAACTACCCTCTAGGACGACTACCCTCCAGGACAACTACCCCCTAGGATGACTACCCCCCGGACAACTACCCCCCCCCCCAGACAACTACCCCCTACGACAACCATCCTCTAGGACAACTATCCTAGGGGGTAGTGTCCGGAGCGGAGCGGAGCGACAGAACGAAGGAGCGAAGCGACCAAGCGGGGTTGGGTGTGGGTGTGGGAGAGGGCTATCCCCCCACACATGATAGGGAGCTTTTGGTATTTTCAACATGTAGGAATGCCCTTTTCCTTCACTTTAAACTCATTTTTCAGCACTTATGCAACCCCCTCCCTACAAAAAAAAAACCAAAACAAGGACTAAGAGCTCAAAATTCCACTGATGAAATAGACCCTGGAGGAGAAAAATAAAGGGCTGTTCATAAGTAAGGTATTCAAGTAAACTCCCAGGCTTACAGGCGAATACTCAAATAATTTTTTTTGTTGTTGGCACCACCATACTGCGGTAGAATCCCAGGTCCGTCACCGAAAACTCACGCTATTTACTTTGAGTTGCAGTTGAAGGCGCTGATTTAATAATATTAATAATAGTAAACAATGCTGTTTTAAAACCAAAGATGACAGACTAATTTTCCTCCGAGTCCAAACAGAAATCCGGACATTTGATCTCACTTTCTGAATGGTGAGTTGACAGTGATTGAGCTGTGAAACATTTTTACCCATGGTACCATGCCCGTGCTCTCCTGGGCACGTTTAGCATCGGCCTGGACAGTGCCAGGTGAACGGGCACAAAAAAATAAAATAAACGATATAAAAAAATATTTTAAAAATATTTTAAAAAATTAAATTTAAAAAATTGTAATTTTGTGACACAAAATCGTAAGGCGTAATTTAAAACAAAAAATCGTAATAATTACGCCAAAATCGTAGTAGTTGGCAGGTATGTAGTTGTCCTAGGGGTAGTTGACTGAGGGTGGTTATCCGGGGGAGGGGTACATGTATGTTCAGGGGGTGGGTGTCAGGATACGTATCTTCTACTTCTTTATTTCATCATTCCTTGTAATTTCCATCCTATTAAGTTTCATTTCTCACATTTTAATTTTCATATATGTCAGTCTTTAAAAAATATTCTTTCTACAATTTATTCGATCCCTTTTGGCCTTTTCCCTTTTATAATTTTTATTATGTAATTTTTGATTTTCTCCACTCTTTTATTTCTATCTTTATCACTGTTAATTCTGGCCAATGAATTCTTTCAATTCCTTTTTTATAAATTTTGTGTCTGTATTCCTCTCTTGGTAGGTCTTAATTTCCCACAATTCATCTTCTCAATCTTTCCATTCTTCCTTGTCACCATCCTATTAATAGGCCTATCATATTCCCTTGAACTATTGTAGTATTACACTTTCTCTAAAATCCACTTTATCCACCTAGCATTTTGTCTTTCCTAATGTCAGCCTTAACTCTTGTCTTCTTATTTTTCTATCATTAAAAAAACAATCGCAACTCTCAGCATCTTTTTTAAGTAAATTTCCCGCGCACCCCCATTGAAAAATGGTTAAAACAGTTCATTTAAGATGAGAATTTCCCAGCGTGTAGGGCCGATCTGAAGACACCATAAGAAAAAAAGTGGCCCAGCTAGTCGTGACCCGAGTGTTTTCCAGCGCTCCGTGACTCGAGTGTTTATCAATTTTTGTCTTGCAGCTGTCTTTTAAACTGTTACTGTCATCTTCATTCATGCACAGTACAGTTTAAAAATACGGTTGCAAGAATTTCCTCACGGAGCTCAATTTCGACGAAGAAAATCCGGAAAAAAGACCCTAAAACGCATCTTACATTCAAACTGGTAACTGGAACCGATATATGTGAATCCGCTAAAATTGAGAATCTTGGGCAAAGTTTTGTGGCCAGATGTTTGCACAGGAGACCCTATGGTCGGCTTCTGTCTCTAAAGAAAGGAGCTGACCCTTTCCAAATAAGAGGCTAACGAACGAAAGAGAAAAACATTTTTTAGGTCTAGGCCTACTCATACTCAGTCTATACATACTAATCAAGAGCTAACAAGTGTCACGCATAAAAAACGTCATGCATTTCGAGGGTCTGAAAACGTCAAAAGACGCGCACGCGCGATTTTGAAAAAACGCTATAAGTACGTTATACCCTCGCCGGCACGCAAGTCGCCAAGTCATGAAAATGTCACGCATAGCTGATCTTTGAACTTGGCGTTCCTGACTAATTAGTAGGGGCGCAGGTCCAAGAAAAAGGATCGTCCGCACAAATGAGGATCGTCTTTGTAAACGTGAACAGACGCGTCCGTAAAAATAAGAATCGTCCACATATCCGCCAACGATTCTGATTTTCGATCTGCGCGTTGGCGATGCGAAAAACAGGTTTGCGCAATGATTTTTCTTGAATCATTTTAGAGTAAGACCGCCAAACTTCGGACACTTAAGACAAAACAGGGCAAAACATTAAATTCTTTTTTAATTATTGAAAGATCAAATATACTATTAATTTGTGCAAATACTGTTTATGTATGTCATGTAAAAGAAAATTAGTAAAACAAATGGAAAACTAGAATTATTTACTTACCCGTCGAACCTTTTTTCATGCCAAGCTTTGGACGCACTTGCCAAGCTTCGGACGTTCAGGTGAAGCGCACGTGTAGCGCATAGCACACGTACATCACACGTAAAGCGCGCGCTGAAGTGCGCATTCATCGGAGGTTTGGAAACCGGATCAAAAATCGTACGGCGGGGGTAAGTTTGACTGCGTTGATTTTGTAGTGAATTTATGCTCCATTATAGTGTCAACGAACTTTATGTAATGTTTTGATATTGCCTTGTTGTGCCGACAACTTTTGAGAAATTTACGCTGATAATTTATGCAGTTTTCCTGCGACGTCGTATGTTTCACATTCTTGACACATTTTGGCACCTGCCTTCACATATCTCGTCACCATGGTTTGTTTTCGTAATGTGACCAATCACAGCTTCCGCTGGTCACGTTTTCGCCACGGAGCTGGGGTTTTCGTTAGTTAGCCTGCATGATCTCGTAAGATCATCACGTATTGGATTGATTCACTTTTATAGCGATCTTCGCAATTTTTCATCCAGCAGCTACGGCGACATAGTGTAGCGTTTTCCGTTGGCCTTTTTGAATTCATCCGCATGCCATTTGGACTCAGAAACGCTGCACAGACTTTTCAACGATTCATAGATGAAGTTTTGAGGGGTTTGCCGTTTGTCTATGCATATATTGACGATCTTCTGGTTAGCAGTACGGATATGGATGAGCACGAGCGGCATCTTAAGCAGCTTTTTGACCGTTTGTCTCAACACGGTATCCAGAGCTGCCAACCTCCAGAACAGAAAATCAGTAATCACAAGGCTCAAAATCAGTAATTTGGGGTATAAATCAGTAATTTCTTATGCGGCGCTATGAATCTAAAAAAACGACACGCCAACACTGCGCGGACGCATGATTATCTGAAATTTTTGGTGATTTTACTCACACAAAGATGTTAAGTATTGAATTTCAGGTCATCACAACACAGTTTATCATGAAAAATGGCTCCTATTCACAGCACTCGCTACGATAAATCATATTTAATTCATTAAAAAAAAAAAAAAAAAAAAAAAAAAAAAAAAAAAAAAAAATCTTTTTTTTTTTTTTTTTTTTAAATCCGTAATTTGAGACAACATTCCGTAATGGTCGTTAATTTCCGTACCAATTACGGGAAATCCGTACTAGTTGGCAGCTCTGGGTATCGTAATCAACCCATCCCAGTGTGTGTTCGCAGTTTCTAGCCTCACTTTTCTGGGTCATCATATCGACGAGAAAGGCATATCACCTCTT